CCCGGCCTAGGTCCCGTCTGTTGCTAGGAGGGAAAACACCTCGTCTCTGCCTGTACTTTCTATTTTAAACGCACGGAATAAAAAGTAGATCTAAAACTAGACCCTTCTTCCAGCGGAAGCCAATCTGTTGACAGTGCCGAGAAAAAGTGACTTACCCAAGTTCACCAGGAGTTATTTATAGGTAGGGCTAGAAATTCAACTCATTCTCTTTGTAAATCTCAAAAGCAGGACAGAAATATATGAAATAAAGGGTGAGCACCCGCTCCCTTTTCTCTCCACCCGGACCCTAGTTCCCTGAAATAACCATCGGTAAAGAGTTTGGTGTACCTTGCAGACATTTAAAAAATGCATTTACAAATGTGGGTACACATATAAATAACATGCATTTCTCTAAAACCCCACCTGATACTGTCCTGCAACTTGCTTCTCTTTACTGGAAACAGCCTGGACAGATGGGGAGTGACCGCTAATGAGAAGGGACAGAGCTTCTTTTCAGGGTGGTGACAATGTTCTGGAATTAGTGGTGACGGTTGCACAATTTTGTGAATATAACGAAAACTACGGAATTGTACACTTTAAAAGGATGACTTTTATGGTATGTGAATGATATCTCAATTTTTAAAAATAGCATGTCCAATAGAAATCTAATGTGAGCCACCCATGTAATTTTAAATGTTCCAGGAGCCACATAATAAAAGACAAGGAAACAGATGCAGTTAGTTTCAGTTATTTAAAATAACAGTGCATCCAGTATGTTATTTCAACATGTCATCGATGTAAAAAAAATGTAACGAGATTTTTACATTTTGTCCTAAGTTTTTGAAGTCAGGTTTTTAATATTGAACTTGCAACACATCTTATTTGGGACTGGCCACATTTTAAGTGTTCAATAGTCATCTGAGGCTGGTGGCTTCTGTAAGGGAGAGTGTAGGTCTGCATCATTCTTTGGCTTCCTAGTATCTCATGATTAAATGACAGTTACTCCTATTTCCTGGGCACATACTTTGTGCAGCTGTGTGCTGAACTCTGTTCGTGGATTGTGGCATTGCATCCTGGCAGTGACCCAGTGGCTAGGAGGCGGTTCTGTCGATTTTATAGCTGAGAAGACTGAGGCCCTTGCAGAATAAGGGACGTCCTATGAGTGTCCTGTAACTTATGACCAATCCCCCTAGGGATGGGCATTGAGGTTGTCTACAGATTTTTACTGGTTTAAGTAACCTGAGTTTCTTTTTCGTCCCTTTTCTCCCTTGCTCTCAGCAGCGAGATTTCCCTGTGCCCGGTGGCTAAACCTCAGCCTCATTTAGTCTCTATTAGGAACAGCTTTCAAGAGAAACTGCGTGTATTAACTTCATTTTCTCACTCAGGGCTCTCTTTAACTCAGACATGGGTTGGCTCACACTCATTTGTAAGGGCCTTAATGAAGAGCCCAGCTCCCTGTAGCTCTGTGCAGCAATAAACCCACATAGAGCACTTGCTGAAGTTTATTTACTAAAAAAAGCAGAAACTCTCAGAGTGGAGTCATCTGCAGCTTCTACTTAAAGCTTAATTCATTAGCAGGTCCCTGAGCTGAGGCTGTTTGCAGATGGGCAAGTGAGCGGGACAAGGGAGGTCTGGTTTGGGAACAGGCCTGGGCAGCAGGTCCCCCCCTCCCACTGACCCTTCTCCTAAGACCACTTTTGGCTTTTAAACGGAGCAGTAGGAGTTTCAGACCAGCCCACTGCAGTCCTAGGGGTGTCGTCCTGCGGTTCCTGGTGAAGTGAACCTGTTTCATTGAACCCCTACTGTGTGCCGAGCGCTGGGGATGCCACGGCAGTGAAACAGACAAGGGCCCTGCTCTCTTGGGACAATAAACACGGAATACACAAAACCTCTGAATTGTGTTGAATGCCATGAGAATGTAGCATGAGGAATGTGCAGGGAAGAGGAAGACCAGAGATCCAGAATCCAGGAGGGTGAATAACAGAGGGACCCTGACCTTGTCTGGGTGAGATCAGGGAGGGCTTCCCTGAGGCAGGGTCATTTTATGCTAAGCCCTGAAGCATGAATTAGGAGTTGGTTGAGAAGGAGAAGAAAAATATCCCAGGCAGAGGGACTAGCACTTGCAAAGGCCCTGGGTGGGAGGAAGCAGGTGTTGGGGATAGAGGAGCAGCAGGTAGAAGGGAGCAGTGGGAGGTGTGGCTAGGGAGGAGGGACGACGCCCTGCCCTAGACTTTGCACTGTCTCACAGGATGCAGGAGTTGCTGAGGGGCAGTGTGTTGAGATCTGCTGGCAGGTGAGTGTTTTACTATTTCCAGTGCCCTTGGGGTTTTCTGTGTTTCCAGCCAGCTTTTCTGTGTTTTACTTTCTCTCTCTTTCTGCTTTGAACTTCCTCTTGGGGGAAGTTACAGAGGGGTCTCGGAAGCTGCTTCAAGGAGGCAGGGAGGGAGAGATGTTTGGCTTGTGGGTGCCCTGTGACTTACAACGGAGGGGAGCTCAGGGCCCTCCGGAGTGGCTGAGCACTGACACCCCCCACCCCCGGGTGAATGTCTGAGCAGGCTCTTTCAGGATTTCAGTGGTTCCTGTGCCGGGGCATGGGACAGGTATGGCTCACAGATGGGTTAATGGCCTAGATGGAAGGAAATGAAGCCAGCACTTTCTCACATGCAGGGTCTTTGCTTCAATGAGCAAAGGATGATGGTGGAGAAAGCACCTGGGTCCTTTAACCACATGTGGATTAGATCAGGGATTGGTGTGATTGGTTCAATCCAGAGAGGGCTTTTTAAGTGGAGGAATTTCATGTAAAAAAAAAATATCCGAGTTTCTTGTTTGTTTAAAATAATGAACAATCTCGCCCTCGCTGGTGTGGCTCAGTGGTTAGAGCGTTGTCCTGCGCACCAAATGGTCAAGAGTTCCATTCCCAGTCAAGGGCACGTACCTGGGTTGCTGGTTTGCTCCCAGCCCCTGGTCAGGGTGTGTGTATGAGGCAACCAGTTGGTGTGTCTCTCTCACATAGATGTCTCTCTGTCTCTTTCCCTCTCTCACTCTCTTCCCCTCTTCCCTCCCTCCCTTCCATTCTCTCTGAAAAGCAATGGAAAAAATATTTGTGTCGTCAGATGAAGATTAACAAAAAAAAGAGAACAGTCTGGTAATCCTAGGTCCATGTTTCCTAGTCGCAGCCCCCTGTTTGCCATAGTCCCCACTTCACTCTATTGTCTCTCCCATACCAAAGGTGGTATCAGTTACTGTTTGCCCTGTGCTTGAACTTTTGATTTTTCTGTAATCATGATAAGAAAAGGAACTGTTTTTCCAAACCATGTGTCTGGACTAAAGTGGGAGGGAAAACATAAATTAGCCAAGATGCCCTTGAGTTTTAAGAAATGTAGAAGAGGCTGTTTCTTTGTGGAAGCAAAGAATATTCTGTTGAGCCAGGCTGGGCGTGGCTCAGCAGTTGAGCATCGACCTGGGATCCAGGAGATCACAGTTCGATTTCCCGTCAGGGCACAGGCCCGGGTTGTGGGCTCAATCCCCAGTTGGGGACCTGCAAGAGGCAGCCGATCACTGATGACTCTCTCATCATTGATGTTTCTCTCTCTCTCCCTCTCCCTTCCTCTCTCTGAAATCAATAAAGATTTAAAAAAAAAGAATATTCTGTTGAGTCCAACCTACAAACACCTTGTGCCTATGAGAACCCCGTTCCCCCACATGTTCTATCCTTGTGACTTGCTGGTCCCCTTTGGGCCTTCAAGCTTTACATGTTCAGATTAGAAACCTGTGGGTAGAGCTGGGCACGGTCTACTTTGTCTCAAACTGTAGTTCTGTATGAATTTGTTCCTCGGATCTTTACGGCAGACCTGCTGTGTGCTGGGCACTGTGCTGGGCACCAGGGAGAGGCCAGTGCGACAGGTGCAGTGCTTGCCCTCAAGGACTGGCCTGGCAGTCAGGTGAGCAGACTAATACTGATCAGAGTAACTAAATGGTGGTAAATGCCAGAAGGGGACAGCTGAAGGGCTGGGATGGAGATGCAGGGAGGACTGGAAGGAACCACAGGGCAAAGGTCTGGAGAGCTGAGCTGCTAGAGTGGGTGCTCCCTGGTGATCCAGGGGGAGAGTGGGCAGGCCACACCCCCCGAATCCTGAATCAGAACCTTCAGGAGTGTGAGGAGCCAAGGCCAAGGCAGGTGCTTGGAGAGGGCCAGCCTCTGTCAGGAGGAAGTTCGCATCTTCCTCCTGCCGTGAAAAGAGCCATCCTGGCTCTGAACAGCCTCATCACAGGGTGGCCATGCTGTGGGGGAGAGTCAGCCCGGAGCCTTGGCCAAAGGTCCCCAGTCTGGCTGATCCTCAGCACTAACCAAGAAGCTTTAAAACAGACTGGTCCCCAATCATTGGGAGCGACCCCAGTGCCCATCAGCGAGGCTGGTCGCATGGTGATGCTGCTGCACAGTGGCCGGCCGCCTGCAGCCTGTGTCACCATCCCTGCCAGCTGCAGCGCCCAGCGCCCAGGGACACAGGCAAGGCGCACAGAAGTGTGCATGGTGTAAGTAAAAACCTAAAAAAGCGAAAACACCTATTTCGTGCATCTATAAATGGGAGATTAAGTTAAATCAATCTCTAGGGGTGGGGTAGGGGATAGCCAAGGATGAGAGCACTGACATAGGATATGGTTCCCAAACTTTGCCAATTTTGGAGTCATCTGGGGACCTTCAAAAGAAAAATACTGATTCCTGCTCCCACCCCTGGGTCTTCTGATTTCACTGTGTGGCTGCTACCTGGACACTGGGATTCTAGTAGCTCCCCAGCAGGGTTTTAAGCCTGGAGTGACCAGTCCAATTGGTCTATTGGAAAATCACTGTGGCTGCTGGAGGAGAACTGAGAGGGAGGCCCAGGCCTGGGAATCTGGGCTTGAACTCC